GTAGATTAGTCTCTCCCCTGAGGCGGCTACCTGCGCTTTCGGCGGCGACTGTCCCTGAGGCGGCACCGTCCTGCTCGCCTCCAGCCGCACCGAGCTCAGATACTGGATCAACTTCTCGTAACGAACGGCCTCCGACGACTCGGAGAACTTTGTCACCAGACTGTCCTCCGCCTCCGGAGTCAGCGTCAGCTGCCGGCAGCGACATCGGAACATCGGAACCTCTTTTAATCTATTGCGTGAATGCTTATCGTTCCTTCATATTATCATTCGTCGCTCTCTAATACGGGTATTATCGCTCGCACAGGACTTTTAACTCCAGAATGGTTTTAACCGGTCTATTATGGCCCGGTCCAAGATGGGTCTTGTGTGGTCCGGTCCAATCCGGTCCGGTTCCGGTGTGGTCCCTTGTGGTCCCGGTGTGGTCCGTACCTGGTGTTTGTGCAGGGTGTGCCGGAGGTGGCTTGGTGTCAGCACGCCTCCCGATCCCGGTCCTTGTGCGGTCCCCTGTGGTCCCTGTATGGTCCCCTGTGGTGCCGGGCCGGTGTCGTTACGTATGGTCCCGGTCCCGGTGTGGTCCGTACTCCGTACCTGGTGTTTGTGCAGGGTGTGGCGGACGTGACTCGGTGTCAGCACGCCATCCCGGTCCCGGTCCAGAGTCCGCAGTTCGTTCAGAATCCGCTGCACCCGCCTCTCGTGAAGCAACTCAGAGCTACGGTACAGCTCGTTTCTGAAACCATCAAACGGCCACCCGGATACTGAAATAGCGAGTGGTGAATACGAATAGTGGGTGACGTATGGTGTTATTCTTCATGCCAAATTTTTCCAAACGTGTGCCGATAAAAATTGTAGCGTTATCGTTTCACACTTGTGCATTAACTCTGTTGTGACGTCTACCGATCACATATTTACTGTTTAGCTTACTTGAGCGTGATTTCCTGGAGCTCGCCCAGCTTCTTGAGCTGTTTGCTGGAGCTTGTTGGGGTGATAGGAGGTAGCACCGAGAAGCTGGCATTCATAGCACCGCCGGTTACATCCTGAAAACATGCAAAGAGCATCGCTGGGTGCAGACGGACTCACAATGGCTATATTACAGCGATTATACGGCCTATTATGAGCTTATTTTTGGCACACACCACATGTTTTATTACGCTTATGAGCATTGGATAAAATACAAACAACTAAACTTAGGTTGCATTACTTAGACTCGGCAGCCCTCTACCTAAGCCTACCCTCTACCTCTACCTCTACCTAAGGATCGCGTCCCATCGGGGATGCGCTTCTTCGCGTGGAAAGAATCGACTGCAAATGGCCCGGTTTAAAACTTCAATCAACTTAGCACCCCGTTAGGGCCGCTGGAGCTATGTCTTTACGAACGACGTAATGCCTCATTATTAAAATGCACACGAAAATAGGTCACAGGCAACTATTGAAGGACTGCTGCATGCGGCCGTTCGCCTACCGAGGTGCGGCGCGGCGCTGATCGGGAGTAGGTGACCTCCGGCTGGCGGGCGCCCACGATACTCTGTCCGGCGCCCTGTGCCTGCGGCGGGTTACTCGGTGTGACCTGCGGCCGGCCGGCAGTGGTGCCCCCAGCTCCGGTCACCAGTCGCTCCGCCGGCACCCGCTGCGGACTCTCCGCCGGCGGTGGGGGACGGTACTGCGAGTTCGCGCCGCCGCCGCTAGGTGTCACTCTGATGGTCGGGTTCTGCTCCACCCGCACCTGGCTCCGGAGCGGGTCGGCCGATCGGCTCGGCGGCGGCCGGTACGCCTGCTGCAGTCCGTTGTCTCTGCGGTGACAGGGACACGTGCAAGGGGCATGATAGTCGGTGTGTTTTCACTAACACTGACACCAGTGATGACAGGATTTTTATCAGGATTAGTTATTATCGGACACAGGTAGCGCCGACAACGTCCACACCTGTCCATCGACCCTGCACAGGCCGACGATCAATCCTCATCGTCACCATCCGTTTGTATCATGGCATAACTGCACGTCGGCAAATATTGCCCGAGCGTCTGTAATGACCTCGAACTTTCGTACGTACGTATGCCGTCGCCGCCGTAAGTAATGTGTGCGCGGAACGCAGAGCCTCGCCTTAGTACCTCAGCGCAACACTGCCCATTGCCCCAACTAGGACTGCAATGGCAAATGTTATGTCGTGAAGGTGATGGATACTGATGAGTGTGGCGCCTTTATGCCTAAACGTGAATGTAATCGCCCGCCTACGGCTGTTGTTTGTTTGCAGGAATTCGGGTGGTCGCCGGTGGATGCAGGTTTGTCCAGGGTGATCGGTGGGACAGGACAGTCGATCGTTGCCAGGTTACAGACAGACCGGACCAGGCCATGATCCGAACACCACCTGCTGCGAGCAGCTGTCAAACTACGTCAGCAGGTACCGGTCGAGGGCAAGTGTCAAACAAAGGTCAGCATCGGATGTGACAGCTTACGGCATAGCAGAGTGAAATGTGAACTAAGGTCGGGTATGAGGAATTAGTTAGATGGGTTAGCGTCTAAGTTTCGTCAGACCCAATACCATAGGCGCGGGAGCCGGGGGGGGGGGCAGTGGGGGTAGCTTGCCCCCCCTAACTCTGGGGCCGTGGGGGCGGTGCCCCCACAGCTTTGAGACGGAATACCACACTTTTTTTGCAAATGTTTTCTTTTTTTGTTGAAAAAGCCGAGGGGTGAAAAATAAGTGGCCTAAAACCGGTGAGAAAACTAGATTTGGGGGTACCCTAGGTTAATCTCTATTATGGTGTGCCCCCCCAGTCGGAAAGTAGTTCCCGCGCCCCTGCCCAATACGGCTTCATACGGAAAGAGGCATCAACGTGCAAAAGTCCACCAAGATGAGTTTTCTTTTTACCATTAGAATTTTGCTCTGTAAAATGTCCCGTCAAATAAAACCGTTTTAAAATATCAGAAAGTTTTCCTTCTGTTAAGTCTTATATATTACTGACCGGGCCGACGAAATTATTTGGAAACGAGGTTTGCAAAATTGACGGAGGACCGAGTGCGGAGCACGAGGGCCGGAGTCAGATTTTGCAAGCCGAGTTTCCAAATAATTTCGTACGGCTGAGGTCAGTAAATATATTCCTGCCCGGGGCCGGGATGATTCAATAAATGTCACCGAGGTTTTTTAGCGAAAACTCCGAGGGCCGTTAGGCCCGAGGTGCTTTTCGCTAAAAAAGCGAGGTGACATTTATTGAATTCCCAGCCTTAGGGCTGGAAGGCGTTTCCCATACCTGCCAAAAAGCTCACAACTATAATTGATAGTGACGTCAGCAGCCGTGTGGTTCAACGCGTTTAACCACACCCCTTGAACCACACGGCTGGCAATATTAAAGCACTGCATTAAAGGGACCCTCCCACCTTAACATTAGATTTGAGTTGAGATAGCCAAAATGGGGTCCCTCCCTAGTGAAAAAATCCTTAAGGACAGTCCTATGTGTTTCTTCAGGACGATCCTTAACAAAATCCTTGTACGAAATTGATACACAATCCTTAAGGATTTTGTTAGAAATTCCTTAAGGATTCTGCGGAAAATCCGTAAGGATTTTTAGCTAAATCCTTAAGGATCTCTAGCAATGTCTTTAAGGACATTGGTAATAATCTTTAAGGACTTTGTGGTTTTTCCTTAAAGATTTTGCTACAAATCTTTAAGGATCTTGGCGACAATCCTAAAGGATTTTGAGCAGGGATGCGGAGCCGGAGCCGGAGTCGGAGCCGGAGCCGCCGGAGCCGGCATATTTTGCCCGGAGCCGGAGCCGGAGCCGGAGCCGTGAAACAATATAGCCCGGAGCCGGAGCCGGAGCCGGAGCCGCCAAAAAAGGGGGCGACTCCGGCTCCATTTTATTTTTATTTTTTTTTGAAGAGGAAAAAAATAATTGACTTAGTTCGGTTTGACAGTACAAGGCAGTAAAACATATGGTACTATTGGTCTCAAGATAAGGGCCCAGGCGACCTGTAGTTTTGATGCGGTGAATACCCTCACCCTCGCCACAACTCGAGTGGGGATGGCGCTGGCTGGGAGGAGGGGTGCACTCGGCCCGAGTTGTGGCGAGGGTAAGGGTATTTATTCACCTCATCAAAACTTCAGGTCGCCTGGGCCCTTATCTTGAGACCAATATACGTCATGGGCCATCAAATGAATGAAAAAAGCCGAATATCCTCAGTGTCCCACAGTACGCAATCAACTTCCTGTCTGCTCCTCCCCCCCCCCACGTCTACTGCATCCCCAGAACATGAGGACCGGTCATCAGGTGACGGCCATTGTTTTGAAGCCAGTGCTGGGAGTCGCAGTCCATTGCACCGTCTCTTCCCACCTCCCCCGCCCCCCCCCCCCCTCCACCCCCCAATGCAGCCGAGACGGGTGTCAGCTTACGATGGTTCAGTGAACTCCGATTCGCGGCGACTGCGTTTCCAATGCCATCGCTTCCTAGACCTTTGTTCTGCCAGTTCTCTCCGAGGTGCGTTTGCGCGGGAACGCGGTGAGCCGGTAATGGCAAAGAGTAACGCGTATAACCAATCCAATTTTTCTTCCACCCGTATTTAATTGATTGCATAGGGGATGTACTGAGTCGGAGTCGGAGCCGCCGGAGCCGGACCATTTTACTCGGAGTCGGAGCCGGAGCCGGAGCCGCCATAACATTTCACCCGGAGCCGGAGCCGGAGCCGGAGCCGATTTTTTTCTCCGGAGTCGGAGCCGGAGCCGGAGCCGTCTGAACTTTCCACGGCTCCGCATCCCTGATTTTGAGGCTATTCCTCAATGAACGATATATAAATCCGTAAGGATCAAACCCTAGCAAACACATTTGTACGGTCTCTGGTGCTATATTTTTTACTTAAAACAAGCACATTTAGCCATTTTTCATTGCCAGGAATGGAGCAGCCGCCAACCACAGGCGACCGGGTATACATATACATGGAGCTCTAGGCATTCGCAGGTTGCAGCTGAGGCTCCGAGAAATATAAGCCGAGGACTTCCGAAAAACATATTTACATACATGAAGATAAGTCTACACTTTTTCGAGTCAGCCACGCTTCAGATATTATCACGTCACACGTCCTCGGCCGCCGCTCCTCCGCCATCCACATTCTACACATCTTGAGCGGTTGAGTCGCCCGTCGCCTGTCCAATCTTGCCTCCTGCGTTCCTGTAACAAGCCGGATATTCATATGTAATAACAGTAATATACTGATCAACAATACCTACTCAAAGGCTCACGAATTCTACTCTTAGGCTTAGACTGCAGTCCCAGCCAAAGAATATTGGTGAGCCTTTGAGTAAATTCAGTTCAGTCATTTCCAGCTTAGATGCCTGTGTATGTTCATTTAGCAATGCATCACATATGCACCTACGTCCTACTACCCTGAATCCATTCTATTATACATATTTACCTGGGCCTCGTTCCAAGGCATGACGCTAAAAGACGCTACCGGTAGTAGTACTTTCATTTGCCGCAGCCAAATGAATGACGACGACGATCGCCATTAATTGAAGTGAACGTTTCAGCGCCGGTTTTTGTATCTATCAATACAATAACTAGGATCAATTATCTCATTGATACACAGCATGGCAGAAACTTACATGCCCCGAAGAGGAGACGGCAGGTACGGCACAACACACTCAACAGACTCGTCCGCATCCCGCGAGCGGCAGCGGCACAATGCGACAGGGGGACGCGCGGTCTCCCCTCTTGCCGGAGGCGAGGATCAGACCGCCCGCTGCCGCCCGTACAGTCTTTAAAACAGTCAGCGGTCGCCAAATTCCAGTCGGTACGGTCTCTGAAAGAGCACAGCGCAAACACTGTGGCACCGGTGGCACTAAGGCCATACAATACATGCATACTGTGGCACTTGGTTGAGATACCAATAGGTACTTTTTATCAGAACTATTCGTCTATCCGATTTGGAGTCTGGGTGAACCCAGCGTGGATATTTAGGTGACCACCCCAGCTGAATATTAATTCTAATTAAGATAGCCAAATTGTTATCCCTGGCTCACAATCACCGGTTTTGGGACTCACAATATCGAGAAATGCCATAAATCGAAAATATTTAATTTCAAAGTTCAGCACAAAAGTGGGGGCAAGCTGCTCCCACTACCTCGCTCGCATCTCGGTTCCCGCGCCTATGATGATAACGAACGCTGCTTTGGTCCGTCACAAAGTTTTTACATGCCGTATATGTCATATGGCTAAGAAATTATCGGATACGGAGCACGGAATAATAGTAGGGATGATTCAATCACTCCATAATGATTGACGTACTGGCTGCATCGGCTATCCTGAAGGATTAAGCGACACTAGCAAGTAGCAATTTCCTTACGGAATACTGAGCGATCCTTAAGGATACCAAACATCGCCCTAAAATCCTTACGGATCGGCGAATGCGTCCTTAAGGATTTAAGAGGGTCCGTAGAGTCCTTAAGGATTTCATATCTGATCCTTATGGGTCCTTATGGATCCTTAAGGATTGTGGGGATTCTGGCGAAATCCTTAAGGACTTTTTCACTAGGGCTGGCTCACAATTACCGGTTTCGGCACTCACAACATCGACAAATGCCTTAACCCTCGCCGGCCGAGGGGGGGGGGGGGCGGGTGCCGCCCCCCCCATAGGGTTTTTTCGCGATAGCTCCAAACACGCTGGCGATAGAGAGCTGAAACTTGGCATACCTGACCTTTGATCCAAGCCGCATCTTTTGACACCAACCGCATTTTTGAGTCAGGTCAGGTCACTGACCTATGACGTCATAAGTGAACCTCTGCACGGTCTTCAGATGTCGCAACTTCGCAACGCCCTCACTGCCAGAGGAGATGTCACAGGGAAATGAAACTTGCAGGATCTAGTATCCATTATGAGTCCCACAACTTGTATATCTCGGATTTTTCCTAAAGGTCATATGAGGTCAGGTCATTTTCGTGACCTCACCATTATAAGTCAATGGGGAAAAATGAAAACTGCTATTCTGGCGCCGGGAACGATCTCCAACTATCTCAAGCACACAGAATCGTGATTTTATGCACTCCTTGCAAGGTTAGATGCGTCACTTTTGCAATGTTGACCTTGCGTGATGTCATTTATGACGTCATCAAGGTCATATTAGTTTTTCGTCAATAACTCTTGATCAAATTGAGCTAGCGAGTCGGGAAAGCCACCAATGGACTCAGGAAGACCTGCCGAATCGAATGATATGCGACATGACCCCTTTCGACCAACTTCGTGACCTGGGGGTGCTGACCTGACCTTGACCTGAGGTCAACACCCCAAGTTGACCTGACCCGGACAAAAAGTATATCATTCGACGCGCCTGAGCGAGACGAACACGATGCTGCCAAAATCGGCGCTCTGCGGCCGTTTTTTGCGAAGTTATTCACCAAAAACTGAACCGTACCTTGGGGCACTTGACCTGACCTCAGAGGTCACCGGTTGACCTAGGACCTTAAAATCGGGTACCAATCTCTGCGTCTCGTAACGGCGCACACGCTCGTTTTTTCCGCGACGCGCTAGCTCCACCAGGGGCGAAACGGCGAGGGGGGGTCGTACCCGCCCCCCCCCCCCCCTCGGCCGGCGCGTATGTAGAAAACCAATAGGTCCGGCGAGGGTTAAATCGGAAATATTGAATTTCAAAATTGCAGCATTTTGATTCAGAGGGGCTAATGCTTAGGAATACCCCTCTGAATGTGTGACGTCAGCGCAGATATCTAACGATTTTTAAATGTTTGACTAAAACGTTTTGTAGCACGCGGTGGTATATGCTATTTGCGCGCAACATCTGCCGCAAACGCCGCACTTCTAAAATAAAGTCGCTAGAAACAGCGGAGATCCCAAAAAAGTAAACAAAAGTAAAAGTCTAATATCTTGAAAACCGGTGAATATTTTTCGGTGAAATTTGGTAGATATTCGTTTTCGCTCTTTCTGAACCGAGCGACATCACTTTCATGCCAATTCATTAACTTTTTTGAAGGTGGGAGGGTCCCTTTAAACTTTGAAAAGTGTGGTACAGTGCACGTGCCATTAAAATGCCTGGATGTCTCGATTTAATCATGCAATGTAGCAGGTATGGGAAAGATTTTTCCTACATGCCGCATACATGTGAAGTAGTTTTGACAGGTATTGGTTTGGATTTTGGTGACACTTTTATACAATTGTTTTGTCCATAATTTCCTAACAGTGATTGCGCTACTGCTGTGGATAAAGCTTTAAAGGAAATTTATAGAAGAAAATGCATCAAAATACCTTGCTTCAAAAAGAATCGCGTCTGAAAATATCAACTCAGAATGGCACAACAACTGGATATCCAAAGAACATAATGCATGAATAATTTACCACGACATAAGAACAAGAAGAAGGTATAATATTCCTAGTGATTAAACGTGAATTTTCCAGTGCTCTTGCAAGAATCTTTTATTTATTTATGTAATCGTACTTTGTTGATGCCCATGGCTAAACTTTCGTGAAATACATTATATTTTCCATATTTTGCATCTTTGTTTCGAGGAAAGGACTACAACTGTCAAATAATAACGCAATAACTTAGGCCCAAGGTATCAGTATTCAGTGGACATATCTAAGATAAGACAACAAGCGATAACAGATTTAGATTTTAGGCGCATATCTTACCATAATTTCGGCTTTGCAACCAATACAAAATATTTCAAAACCCTTGATAAGCAGAGCAGATATTTTTTTACCAAAAAATGTTAGTGTTCTAATTTTACGCGGCAAATATCATGCAATAATGATGTAAATTATACATTCGCTGTCAATTATACCTCTGCGCTAGTGCGATAAACTGTAGTTTAGAGGTCATTGCCCTGGGCAGTAAACCCGGGCAGTAAACTTTTGTTTCCTGCCCGGCCTATCAAATAACATGGCATTTTGACACCGACAGTTTCTTGGTCATAGTTTTGCTGCCCGGCTCGTGCTGTGCTTAAAGGAAATAGTTCACTTTTTAACATGGGTTTTGAACTGGAATAGCAGTTCCGTAGCTTGGGCTGAGACGAGCATAAATCAGGAGCTTTTACAGCCCAACGATCACCCTAGGCAAAGATATTCTATTTCTCGTCCCGAAAAAGGTGTCTTGCGTTGAGGATGTGTGCCTTGCATATATTTCCATCCAGTATGAAAAGAGCATGGGTCCCGAAAATTCTTCAGAAACTAGAGAAATTATCTACGAGAACTCTAGAGAAATTCTCGTACTGATCAATTAGGACATTCAGGGGAACATTATCAGATCGAGCAGATCGCCCAAATGCCGGTGGCTGCGATAATTTCTCTGTTTCCGAAGAATTTTCGGGACCCATGCTCTTTTCATACTGGATCGCGTGTGCCTTACAGAAACTGAAAAGTTCTTCCTATATCAAAATATAGAAAAAAATCTTTTGTTATAAAAAGGTTTTATTTTCTTTGCTGATTATTTTGAACATAAAAAATCATAAATCGTTGCAAAAAAAATAATTTCGTGAAAGTGAACTATTTCCTTTAACCCTATTCCTGGCGGGGGGGGGGGGGCCTCAGGAGCCCCCCCCCCTGAGGTTTTTTAGTTATTTCTCCCAAACGCGTTGAGCTAGGAAGCTCAAATTTTCTGACTTTTCCTAAAAGGCTTCTACGCAACATGTCTGAAAATTTTGAGTTGATTTGACCTCAGGTCAGGTCACCAGAGGCGTTTTGGTGACCCTACCTCAGAAAAGTTTGCAATCACGCCAGAGCTAGAGTTTTTGACCTATCAATTTCTTCTCTTCAGGGTTTAGTTAGGGTACCAGTATGTGCAATTTGTATATCTCGGAATTTTGATATCGGTGACCTAAGGTCAGGTCAATTTCGCGACCTCCCCATTATAAGTCAATGGGGGAAAAATCAACTCCCTGTTTTTACCACTAAAACGGGTCGGAATGGCCCCATATACCATACATGACTTCATATACGATCAACCTTCACTACCTTGAGGTCTGTTTTACTGTTGGGCAGCTGTGAGGTCATGTGACGTCATCAAAGGTCACCAAAGGTTTTTGGCCAATAACTCCGTACAGGAACAAGATACAGACACGTGGATGGTCTCATTGTGTTCAGCTCGTCAAGACGCATCGAATGATATACATGATGACCTCGAGGTCACGTGACCTGAGGTCAACCTTTGACCTTGACCTTTCGAGGTCAACATATATATCATTCGATGCGGATTGACGAGAGGATCACGATGTTGCCCTTAGTTTGTTCCTATCTTGACTAATTCGAAAGTTATTCGAGAAAAACTCTCTCCATATCTAGCGCCGCCATTTTGACTTTTTCGACCCCTGTGACGTCATCTTTGACCTGACCTGAAAATGACCTTAGTAAAAATTGTAGATCTTGGCCGTGCGTATCCGATGTCGTTTACTGCTTGTCGCTATCTTGCTTCGTTCTCGAGATCTCAGGGGGGGGGCCGAATCGGCCCCCCCCGCCAGTTTCTTGTCCCGGCGGAGCCCGCCAGGAATAGGGTTAAGACATACCCCGGCATGTAGGAAAGCGTGATTCCGTCTGTGCGGGATAATGTTAGGTAGGTATGTATCGGAATTAAAGCTGATAATACTGTATGTTTCATACGTCGGGCAAAAGGCACCATCGCGTAGAAGCGCTTTGAGTTCAGGCGGGTGCCAACGGCTCCCAAGCCGGTGAAGTGATTTCAGCGAAACGTACAGCCCACCGCAAAAGTAATGTAGGGTTTTACCAATCTCAACGGTTGGCTTTGACTGGC